ATACGCCATTCAAAAGCGGTTGAAGACGTAAAAACCCCGGAAGGGGTATAATCGTTTTATTACCTTGCGGCGGTAGGACCCTTTCCGTTTACCCTGTCGATGAAGACGGCGAGAGCAGAAACGATCGGCGAAAAAGGAATAAATTTTATAAACATTAACAACTGCAATACCGTCACACGGGGTCAATCGGTACGATTTTGAGGTGCTTATGTTAGTAACATTTATTTATTTCTTTTAACAAATTGGTTTCAATTTTAGATAAGCGATAAATATCTTTGAATATAAGCAATTTATAGGGTGAACCACAGTTCTGATATAATTTTTTCTGTAGATGCCCCAATAGACTCCAAGTTGGGGGTCAATAAGTACAGTACATTAGAAATATTAGGTCGACACTAAAGAAACAAGTTTTTTTTATCCAATAGAAAATACAATCTACTATTAGGAACACCGTGTGCATAAAACGTGTTTTCTCGTATTTTTTAGTAACTCACGCTGAAAAAAAGGAGCGTAAACTCATCTAATTTTCTGAGTTAAGTATGGCGAACTCAATAAACCAGCTGACTCAATTTAGACTTGGAGCTATCAATTCTGTTTCAGTCAAGTTTGGAGTTGATTCAACTACAAAATGTGATTTTGCATTAAATGTAAGTTGAACCAACTCGCTTGTTCAGTTCGCTATATTTAACTCAGAAAACGAGTTGAATTTACGCATTTTTTTTTTTCTCGCACAGAAGTAAAAAAAGATAAATCCAGAAATTCATGAATGAAAACATAAATGCTAGTCTTTGAGAATGCTTTAAAATACATTTTATTCTCTTCAAAAATAAGCAACCTATATAAAACTTTATACGTTCCTTTAGTATCTGCCAAAGTTATTTTGCCCCGCTTTTCTCGCTCGGGTACAGTCTGAAAGGATTCTTGGGTGTCATTTTTATACATTCGATGGCCAATCTTCTTGACGTAGAGTCTAACCATCTTTTCCCGATTCGCCCCGCCTAATACAATGAAAAGGAAATGATTTACTAGAAAATTGATGCATTAATTTTCCTCAACCTAACCTCAAATACATTACTGAAAAATGCACTCAAAAGATTGAAGTATGCACAAGTTGAACGAATAACGCTGAAAAACCTTAATATAAAAAATAAGTTTATGAAGCAATGAGAAAACCACGGGATTTCTTGTTAATTTTCAAATTTGATTACATGAACGCATTAAACTTACGACAGTGAAAGACTGAACCATAATTGGAGAGAAAATTTTATATTGCGGAACGAATTGACATTTTTGCAACGTGACTTTATATGCAAACAAGTTGTGGTATATTTAGCGACGATCGAACAGCCCCGCTACAGCCCAAAGCAAATTTAAATGGCAAATATTTCGATATATCAATTGTCTGACAAACATGACATATGGAGGGTAAACGGAAGGAGGAGGGTAGCCATCCTAACAGCGATCCGTCGACACTCATCTTCGGTGGTAGCACGAGGACGTAGTGCCGCCGGAGGAAGGAGACTGCTTACTCGTGTCTCCATATCCGTCCTGGAGTCCGCGTGTCCGAGTGAGGTAGCCTATTTGATGCGCTATTCTTCGAATAACACGGAACAGACCACTCTCAAAACTCCTGTCTCGGGCCTTAGACTCCCTGTGGTGAGGGCATCGGTATCGGCTCCCGATAATCAGATTAGCATCAATGTTTACACGCCGTCGAGGAAGACTCTTTCTCTACCCCGGGCTGCGGTCTCGCTTCTTCCAGAGCGGCGTTCTCCTTTGCTCTCTCGCGGATCGTATGCCTCCCGAGCGCGTTCTCGCTTGCAGTCGTTCACCCTCGGACCTTATCGCCCCTTCCTTCCGCGGTTTGCAAGGCGGATTGTCATTTTGCAGCGACCGCGATCAAGTAATTAACAGAGAGAATAGAGGGTCTATTCTTCCACGAGAAATTTCGTCTCGAATTAACTGTCGAAGTATCTAATCGTAATGTTAACCCTTCGTTGTCCATGCCTTTTTCGGACACGTGATTTTATGACTTGTATTTGTATTTAAAATGCAAGTAAACAATTTAATTTCATCAGTTTTTGCGAATGCGCCTATTTTGAGTTACGCGTGTTGTTTAACTTTTTCGAGAGTTGATTCAGTTGAAAGAACAAGTATCATTCTGATCGATTCTTTTCTAATATTCTCATTTCTCTGGAAGTATTTAATTTCAAATGGAAATAGATTCAAAATCTATTTAAAATTGGAAATCTAAAATAGTTCATTGTCCTTATTTCAAATACGAAATAGAAATGGTGTTTTATGTTTTGGAAACCTATTTCGAATGAATTCAATTCATAAAAGTTACTCCGATTTGCGTTTATAAAAAACTCCGGTAAGAAATGTCTTTCTTATGTTTACGGGTGCTCATTTACATGCTCATTTAATGATTTAGAGATGTCCATTTATTCGAGGAATACGAAGAATGGTGCAGAACGTAAATATATAAGGGACATGAAATCACAATTTCGTTTCTATGTCCGAAAGTTGATGCATCGTAAATTTTCCTTCGGCATTTTACTGTATATATAAACTATTTTTTTAAAGCTAAGATAATATTCTAACTTCGGTTCAGTGAATGGAACAATTGAATCGCTAAGAAACTTGTTATCATTTAATAAAACATGTTTTATTATATTCTTTAAAAAATACTGTAAATTATCGTTTAACAAAAACTTCGTTCGGTGGATCAGGGACATTCCACAATAATACTTAAATAATTTTAGTTTTTGTTTATAAACATTTATTTTCTTTAGGAAAATGCATTCTGCCCCTCGAGCGATTCAAACTCCGCGCAACTCCCGCCGCTAGTACGCTGCCTATGTCGGGCTATTAGATCTCTCAGAGTTTGTGTCTAATGTTAAGGGCGCTCACCACTCTAGCGATTTTGCAGGGCCTCACGGGAACAACGATTCCGAACATATTTCTAAACCGATCGAGCTTAACGAGTGCTCATATCGAAGATGAAATGTTGACCTGTGTTTATATGGGAGCGATTTTCGATAAGTGGTCATTTTCATATAAAAAAGTGCAACGACATAATTGCAATGCCCTTTTAACTAGGAAGGAGGTGCTTGATCGAAAATCACTCCCATATAAACACATGTCAACATTTTATCTTTAAAACAAGCACTCGTTGAGCTCGATCGGTTGAGAAATACGCTCAAAATCGTTGTCCCCGTGGAGCACCTTTTTCAGGATTTTCGAGTTTCTCGCGAGGATTTTGGGTATTCCTTAGCAACCGTTGCCGACTCTTGGCGGAGCGTCCAACTGGCGTGTGCGTGCAGCAGGGGGTCACACACGTTTCGGCGCCTAGTCCAGAGGCGTCTAGCCGTCGTGTGAGTCCTATACGTGCAAAATACGCACACATTTTTCGCCCGTTGCGAAACACCGTCCATTATGCGTCTATTATGTCTCCTTATACACTACTTCATGGCAGTAATGCACTTGATTTTACATGACGCCATGTCATGTGGTATTTTGTCGTATAACATTAAATACTGCCAACTATAGCCTAATCGATCGAAGTATCGTAAATGTCGGATGTATCAGACGTTTATTAAGTGTGTTTCAAATAAAACGAATGATTTGGTATTTATAGAAGTATTTTGTGAATCGTGATTCACGATAGTAAAGGGTCAGAACTGAGGTGATCGGTTGAAGCGAAGCGATACAAAGTATTCGGTTTTGTATAACAAGAAAGAACAAAAAGTATTTATGGTATTTATGTTTTTTAGATATCTATTAATGTTTAGTTCGATGTTTATTTTTAATTTTTCAAATGTGTTCCTATACCATAACCTATTCAAGTATCTTACCATACTGTCATTCTAGAAAAAATGTAACTACAAAGTTCTGAAGTTGTATTCATAAAAATATTATTTCGGATTTTCAAATTGTTATAAATGCAATTTTTAAACTTTGTAGTTACAAATATTTCTTTTCAGAAGGACAGTATGATAATATACTTTGCAATTTCCGCCATATTAAATTTTAGTCCGACCACTTCCAGGTGTAAGCTTACAATTAGACCATATACAGGGTGTAACAGAACTGGTAATCGCGGTTTATACAGCGCTATCCGTGTTGGAAAAGGAGTCCAACAGTCCTGTACTATTTTTTCGTACAGTGCATACATTTCCTGTAATAACTAAGTGAAGCACCGCCAATCAATCGCGTTTCCGAACGGCAGGCATAGCGGAGAGGCTGCATTCGGCTGTCTTCGGCGTAGCAGCCTTACCGGCATTCTCTTCGTTATGCCTTCCTTTCGAGAACGCCATTGATTGGCTGTGCTTCAGTCAGTTATTACAGTAAATTTATGCACAGTAGAAAAAAAATAATACAGGACTTTTCGACTCCTTTTTTATCGAGGATAACGCTGTATACACCGTAACTACCAGTTCTGTTACACCCTATATAGTCTAAGGTCCGATCTTTACACGTGCCCAATGAACACTAGTTCGTGCCGTCGGCTCACATGGTACATTCGAATTTACTCCTTCCACTACAGTGCGAGGTCTTGATATGCATGGTCTAAGGGTGTAAGCTGTGGTGGCGGTAGAAACACTATACAACACCAATATATGGGAGTATCCGTCTCCTGGTCTGTGATTTGTTTGAAACTTAAATCAATGTAAACGATTCGCATGAATTATTGCCGTGATTGGCCCTTCATTCATGGACTAGCCACCGAAGCGTACATGCTAGAGTTGCTGACAGCTGTAGTCTACACCTCATTAAATCTGGCGTACGGTGCATGGATGCGAAAAATGTTACAATTACGATTCAGGGTTGAGAATAAAGATTTTAGGACCATAAGGTTAATCATTATTACGTAAACCCTTTCCCTTCAAAGTAATTAGAGGTTAGAGACGAACCAGTCTCTCATAACATCGGGTTTGTCTTTACTGTGCCCTTGAAAATAATAAAGATTTGATGGTATATAGTAAAGTATGACATACTTTGCTTGCGACATTCTTTAAGCATATGTGTAATAATGATCCCATTCCTCTTTCTTGAGAGTTGTCAACCTGAAACTCGGCACATGCCTCTTCGTCATCAGTGTCCTCGAACTCCAGTCCTTTATCAGTGGTAACATCACTAGTTATACTACAATTCGAAAACAGCTCTTCCAAATCAGTTTCGACGTTTGAGCGCTTTTCGACAATTTCACGAATCTCCGGAGTGACTGGCTCTGACGAAACCAGTGCCTCGAAAACCGATAGCGCTGCCACTCGGACAGACGGATCTAAAAATAAAACAGGAAACTATAAGACAGAGTTAATTGGTTAATTATTAAATGTAACTGATGAAATTAGGCATGATTTTGCATAAAATAAATTCATGAACAATATGATGCATTAGTAAATAAAGCGTAAATAATATCACCATTCACAACGTGACTAGACAGAAACAATATTTTACGGTTGTAAACTATTATATTGCTTCGATCGTTTTCTTTATCATGATAATTCTGACGACGTCAACAATATATTTCTAAACTCGAATAGAATAAGAAGTTTATAAATGTGATAAAAGGGATGTGAAAGTGGCATCCGAAAGGTCAATTGTTCATGAAACTTTTCTACGAACTGGATGTACGGAATCGTTTCAAACTTTACAACGTGAACATAGAGACTACCCAATAAGCACATACAAGTTAAATCAACGTTTCTAAAACATTATATTAGTTAAATAAGCATTTCGGGTTGAGAAAATCAACGTCGATTTTTGGTTAAAAATGTTACCGTTATATTTTAACGTTATGAAGACGTCACTATTTAACTTCCAGTTAATAAAGGACATTTAAAAGACGTAAATAAAAGACGTTATTTATACCTTCGAATCAGTCGTAAGGATAACAGTAGAAGGTAACTACTTATAAACATATCATGGAGAAGCAACGTTGTAATTCCGTAAAATAATAACGTTATATTTTAATGGAATTTTTCACAACACCTAACATCTCATTTATACAACTTTTAAGCAAAACATTAAAAATAAACATTGAGAAATATTACAAAATGTACGTTTAAAAGCCATTAGACGTTACGAATTATTTTACTAAGCTATCATGTTTTAATAACGTTTATTACTAACGGTAGTCAATATTGAAATATAATTTGGTTATTAAATTAATTTTGACGTTAAATTCAAACGTTATAGTTTGTTTAGTAACTAATTACATTGTTGATGAAACTTATTCTCGTTAATTTGACGTATATGTTCAACAATGTGTTTGATGATATTAATTCATTGACACAATTCACGCACGGTACCTAACGATCATTTCGTTCAGAACGATGCTCACTCGAGATTGTCTTTTGTTTCACCCGTTCCATTACACGTTAGCCTCCGACTCAGTACGCTTATTCACAAAGCTTCGCCACAAATTTGGCAACGCGGGGTTACGGGATTGAGGGGGCACGAGAATCTGAATTCGAGGCGACACTGCTATCGCTACTAACGCCGCCTCGAACCCAGATCCGATTACGAACAGATTACGAACCGACTACGAACAGATTATGAACTCTTAACGAACTCGTAAAAGATATATAATACTTTCTAACATTTATTTTTCATGTACTAAAGAAATTGCATGATCAACATTTTAATTTTTTTAATGAATCTGTTACGTAGGTACCTTCCGTATCCTAACATAGGGAAAAACCCTATTTTTTCCAATCACCGGAGCTAGCCATGGAAATCCGAGTACAGAAACGCGAAACTCTTGCGAAAGAATCCAACGAATTCATCGGCCAAACGGCCCCAAAAGTCACCGACCGACCCGGGGCAAACAACCTGATGACTCCGCAACGCATCAGCACGACTCAGAACGCCACCCTCACCTGGGCCCTAGGAAGCCCCCACCAATTGGAACATCCTGCTAATAAAACAAGCAG